GCTGAACTACAAAATGCAGCAGAGTTCCTACTACTTTTTCCTCATTAAATTACCTCCTTTTTTCATACAGTTTATCTGGATTTTCTTTTTCCTTTTTTATTGTTTTGGAACAAAAGAAAAGAAAAGGAAAGCTGCAAGATCAGGTTTATACCTGCTGGAGGTAAAGCAGAGATTTTCTTTTTAAACTAGGATGAAGCGAGCACAGCATGAACTTCTTAGGCAGCAGAATGAATGTTCCTTCCACAGGACACTGCAGGGCAGCATAATGGGAAAAAAGACCCTAAAACTCACTTTTTTTCTCCTCATTACTGCAAGTCCCTATGGCATATGAAAACAAACTGCTAGTAATGAATGCAAAAGTGATTAGAAACAATATACCTCTAAGTTCGGTCAGGATATCAATTTTTTGCTCTAGAATTGCTTCAAGTTGGGTAGAATAAGAATCCACATCATAGTCTACTTCTTCTGTCATCTCAAGAAGAGCTTTTTCTTCTTCCAGCCATCTAATAGATTCCTATATTAAAAAACAAACAAATAACTAAATATATAAGCAAAGTTCCAAAACAAGTTTCAAGACATAAAAACTCAACTCGAACTTTTCTCAAGCTGACCACACTTTTACCGTCTAGTCACCTCAATGTAACATTTCAATCCCAAAATGAAAACATATTCCTTATTCAGCAAAATTGTGCATTTTCAACACTACTTCTTAATTCCAGTGGTCATAAAAGCAACAGGTACCCCAGCTACTCTAGTTCCCTTCAAATTAAGAACATGAGGTGGTTGCAAAGCTAACAGACGCATAGAACAGAACTATGTCACAGTAATGTTCCTGTAGGCAGGTACCAAAGTCAGGCTTCAGTTTATTATGGACTGGCTGTCCATATATGACTATAATCATAGTGTCTTACTGCAGTCAAGGAGCAAAGATAATTCTATCCATAATCAATGCCAGTTTTAAGAGAAGCTGTATGAAAGAGCTATTTATAGCTCACTATTGCATGAGCTAATTCCCTAGACATAGGAGTACTGTGAAGTTTTGTTAAAGCAGCTCTTAGGCCTCTTCGCATTCCTAATATCAAAAAGAAAGAGGAAAAAAATGTCTTGCAGTAAAGAATGCAAAGAGGATCTTTAAGCTTACAGACCCATGCAGAAAATCAGGAGAACTGATCCCATTGGAAATGCTTTGATTTAAAAGAAGAAAGCAGATGATAGTTCTAAACATGCTAGGCCTGAAACACTAAAATTTTTGCCTCTGTGCTCAGTAGTCTAAGTAATATTGAAAGCATAGTCCAAATTCCATATGCATTTTTTGGCTTTCAGGACAGATGGAGCTCACTTTGGAAAAGGATTTACTTCATCTAATGTAAACTTAAGCATCCAAGACACGAAGGAAGACCTGCACTCCTAGAGCACAATTCCTAGGAGGAGCAGTAACCTCCCGCAGAAGGCCAGACACACACACAGAGGCAATAATGTGTTAAACTAATTCAGATTGTCTCTCCAGAAGTCGCAAGCATTAGGACACAAATAAGCCATATGACTTTTATACTTCCTGTGTTTTACTTCAGGGCTAAAATTTTATAATAACTAAATCTTTACATCTCTTGTAAAGTGTGTTATTTAGCATCCTCCTGTATTATGAACACACATCAATGTTCCACTAAGTTGGATACCTAGACCGAAGAGATGTGTGCACTCCCCTACAAGTTTAATGCTCTGCTGTTCTCTTGCAGCAGAGATGCCAAACAGACAGCCTGCCTACAGGCTGCAAGGCTATCAACAGAAGCAACTCGTATGTCCTTCTGAAAACTAGTAATTCATTACTACAACTTATTTTGCGAATGTAAACGGCTCCATGGCACTGACCAGGATTACACTGCACGGACAGTATTCCTTTCCAAGACCCTGACCAATAGCAAGTGAAAACTTTTATGTGTCCTGTAAAAAGGAAGCAAACAGCCCATTAGAAATACGTGTCTCTTCTGGATCTCGGTATCTGAGAGGGAGATGTCACAAAAGTATACTCAGATGAGATACTTGGAGGGAATACTGCGGTATCTTAGAGGGAGATGATCAAACAGAAACGGTGCTGATAAGAGACATTACTATTAATTACCAGCTCTGGCATAGGAATATTAGCATAAATGAGGACTTGAAATTGATCATTTCAACTTGCTGCAACAGACTAGAAAATAAAATTTAGGAATATTTTTTGAGAACAAAACAAAAAAATTACTAGATTTCTGGGAGGATACGGAAATATGCTTTTTTATCATGGGGACAAAGATTAGCAGTCATGGGATCTACCCTTGTCTGTTTGCTACAGCAGGCTTAGCATCATGAAACAATTTAGAAATCTCTGACAGCAAAGGAATGACCAGATGATATCCTACATCTTCAGAACTATGCACTTGCACCAGAAAAACCTGGATTCCTGGATTAGGATAAAACAAAATAGAGCTACAGCTTTTACCTGGAAGACAGCCCTGTGGTCTTCTACTACTTGCTCTTCCATTTCTACCATTTGTGACACAGCTTCATGGAAAGTAAACAGTTGAGGAGAAAATTCCTCTTCCTAAAAACAACAGTTAAGCTTGTTAGTCTGGAATGAACTGTGGCTACAAGAAATACACTGATTGTGAACCATCTCATCACAAAACACAAAAAGAAATATGCCGAAGATAGAGCCTGTCAAAAACAGAATGTAGTATTTCCAATGAGAAAATCTCCAGAAATGAACAGAGAGAGCAATAAGTGCAAAATGTTCACAGAAGTAAATTTAACTCATATTCACTAAAAGCTTCCAGCCATTAATCCTGCTGTATATGGGAAAATGGAGTATTCCACACAAGTTGAAGTAGTAAGAAAAGGAAGTCACATAGGAAGAATGCTAACTTTCCGTAAGTTTTAATGCCTACAGAAAACTCTGTTTCTTCTGCCAGGGCTTTTTGTTGTGCCTGTGACAATAGACAGACAACAATTTAAAGGAAAAAGAGAACAGAAATTGCATTCAATAAGTTTCAGGAAATAAAAATTAAATCAATCCTTTGAAAAACATGTAAAGTAAATGTAAAGTGAGAAATCTAAAATGTACATAGTGATTAACACATTAGAAGAATGCATGAGATAGATTTACAAACTGGAGCAAAGAATGCTTCTTTAGAAATTAACAATTGAAAGGGAAAGCACTAGGCAGTTAGTAATTAATGTTTTAGCAAGACAATATAGTTCCTTATACAATGCCTTTGAAATATTTTTAATTGTATCATAAAGCTTAATTTCATTCCACATAAACAATGAAAAAATATTCAATGACAGGATATCTGGCTGGAAGGACTATCCAGTGGGAAGCTCTAGGAACCACTAGCATGTTCTTATAAAATAGAGTCCTGGAAGCCAGTTACTAAAAAGAGAAATGCAGCAGTCACCACGAAGAGGTGTCAGAGAAGGCACAGTCTTGCAAAAAAATAATTCAGGATAATAAGGATTTTTCTTTTCTGTATTTCATTGGCACTTTCACAAATCGTTTTAATCCCTGTTGAACATTTAAGGAACCAGGACCAGAGGCGATAATCAGCAATGAGGGGAAAATGCCCTTTAGAGATGCCTCTCAGCACCAGAATCCTGCAGCCCAGGGAGACATGCTGGGAACATGATGTGGCTCCAACCCAGACAGGGCACTGTGGGTCCACTCCATGAAAATCAAGATGTTGGGAAAAGGAATGAAGGGTACTCAGACTTCTAAACACAGAGAAAGGCAAACTCACTTGACATGGGTCTTGCATGCAGGGGAAATAATGCTCAGAAATGCAGGAGTGTTACATAAAACAGATGAGTGTCTCAGGATACTTCTAATTGCCTAAAAAACTATGAAGCTATACTGGAAAAAGGCCAGGCTTTTTTCAGTGATGTCCAGTGACAGGACAAGGGGCAACAGGTGCAACCTGGAACACAGGAGGTTCCACACAAAAATAAAAAATCTTCTTTACTGTGAGAGTGACAGAGCACGGGAACAGGCTGCCCAGAGAGGCTGTGGAGTCTCCTTCACTGGAGACATTCAAACCCACCTGGACACATTCCTGTGTGATGTGATCTGGGTGATCCTGCTCTGGCAGGGGGGTTGGACTAGATGATCTTTTGAGGTCCCTTCCAACCTCTAAGATTCTGTGATTCTCTGGAGAAGCACAGACTAAAAAACACCAGAGCCTAGAGCAGACCCTGCCTAGACAGCAAGGAAGAGAAAGAAAAATAAAACATTCTCCTCTGACTCTTCAGGGAACGTTCTGGGGTTTTTTGTAAGGGAATGAACATAATACCATAAGTGAAAAGGTGAAGAGGCATGATGTATTTACTTAATGATCTTGCTCACAAGCTACAAATACGCATTAGTCTGGATTTGTTCTGTCACTGTATTTATCACCATCTCTTTCCATGTAATGCTGTAAACCACTCACGTTTTGCTCACAAAGCAGTTTGAGATCATCTCTCTGAGGAGAGCTCCCAACCGCCCACTGTGTCTCCAAGTCATCAATTTGATTGGAAGCATGGTGTATAGTGGGCCGGCTGTCTCCTGTGGCACTAGGGTCAACTGTCAGCTCCTTCACCCTATGAGCAGAAAATTTAATTTGTAAATTAGTAACTTTCTGTGCAAAAGCGTCAGAACCAAAAAAAATGTTCTATGGGTTTATGGGCAATTAATTTAATAAGGATGATGATGTCATCTTCACAAACTTAATGTCCTTTCAGTGACAAAAATATGTTAGTCTTACTCTTGAAAAGCATGGACCATTGAATTTCAACTACATGAATGTGGATTACAGTCCATCTTCTAGAAACAGACATTTTCTGATTAAAATGTACCTGCAGGGAGCCTACAGGAAAGCTGGGGAGGGACTTCTATAAGGGCACGTAGGGACAGGTCAAGGGGTAATGGTTTTAAACTGGAAGAGAGGAGACTTAGATTAGACATTAGAAAGAAATTCCTGACTCTGAGAGTGGTGAGACACTGGAACAGGTTGCCTGGGAAGTTGTACATGCCCCCTCCCTGGAAGTGTTTAAGGTCAAGGCTGGATGGGGCTCTAAGCAACCTGGTCTAGTGGGAGGTGTCCCTGCCCACAGCAGGGAGGTAAAAACTAGATGCTCTTTGAGGTCCCTTCCAACCCAAGTCATTCTGTGATTCTATGATACTCATTAACAGTGAAGACGGCAAAAGTCTCCAAACCTTCAATATGTACTCCTTAACAATGAGTAGTATTTGATAGAAAAGTTCCTTCTGCACCCTAAACCTGACCATCTTGCTTTCTCTGTGCACACAACTGCACTTTAAAAATGTTAATCAATCACTGCCTCACTAGCTGTTCTAAGCAAATCCACCAAGAATTCTGAAGAAAATAGTAATTTGCTATCAAGTATCTCAGAGCATGAATAGATCCAAAGCTGAAAATATCTTCTAAAATGTTAGGCTCTTGCAGCATGAAAACATTTTAAAAGATTGGTAATGATTCTGAAAAAAAAAATAATCACAGTTAAAATCAAGTTTATTAAATGGACACATGAGAGTCTGCACGTGTAGCAAGTTTTACAACACATTATTCTTTTTTTTTTTAAGGGAAAACCTTTTTTTTTTTTCCAATTAGTACTTATTTACTACAATGGAAACTGTTTTCATTCATCTTCAGAGTGATGAAAAGTTTTAAAAACACGTATATATGAAAATTATTTAGTTTGTTGTTTTATTTTTTTTTCAATTAGATATATTAAAATCATCCTGAACACAGATTTGTCAGATTTGGTCCACTAAATGTACAAAGGTGACATCACCATTTATATTTTTTTAATGTATGAAGGGAACTAGCAAGCCTGGATACAAAGTGTGGATGTTTAAGGAGGGTGAACAAAATACTGGGGAAATGATTGCAGATCATGCAGAACCATCACCTGCCAAACAAAATAAAAAAGCTATGTGTGACTCAAGGCAAGGGGACGAATGAAAGGTTGCTTTGTAAAATTACATAGCCCAAAATAAAACTTAAAAATAAAGATTCCATGTATAGAATGAAGTAGACCTGGTGATTGAAGGAGAAAAGTCGTCATACTCATAGGAAGGAGATAGATCAGAGCGACTGCCACTACCCTGTGAGAAGGGAATGTCCGAAGGACTAATTCCAAATTCCTTTTCTCTGCAGCAGCAAAATACAGCAGCAAATTAAGAGAAAATGTTCTCATAAACACAGTTAAAATGACAACTCTTTGTTTAGCATACTTCTTCAATAGTTTAACCATCAAATTATTTTTATATCAAAAAACAAGTGTGCCAACACATTTAAACCTTCTGCAGACAGTTAAGAGATCTGTAACAAAACTGAACAAAACCAGTGCTGCTAGTTTAGCAGGGAACCATACTAGCTGTGCTCTCAGAAAAGTAATTTCAGCTTTCAGTTTGTGCAGTTAATAAAATTTGCTCTACATTCAATATTCCACTAAATGGCTACTTTTAAAATATCAAACAACTACACATACAGAACACTAAATCCTACTCTGCCCTGTCTTCTACTTACTGCACACACCCTGTCATCCAGCACCTAAAAACTAAATGTACTACAGAAACTATATATTGACAGGAAAAACTAAAATACTACAGAAACACATGCAGCAACTGTAGAGTGACAGGCACGTACTCTGTAACAAAATACAAAACTTAAACAGCAAAGGGAAGACAGATTTTCATCTTAACTATTTAGTACACTATAAATAAAAGTTTAATTAGTTTTGGTCTGTCCTGCCTCCAGAGTCACTTCAGCAATACATATTCTGTAAGAGTAGAAGATCCCACAAGTCTTGATAGACGTACAAAGTCCTTCATTATGTTACTGTAAAGAGGGGAGTAGATGCCTCCTTCTCACCAGGAAGGCAATCACACAGACTGGTCTTAGCGAGGCAATTTGCTACTAGCTCCCTTGATCCAGACACAGAAACATCTGGGTATGGAAAGCAGCAAGCAGTAAGCTTTCCTAGCAGCACTTTGAGCCCAGTTACTGAGTTGCAAGTGGGACACAGCCAAGCAGGAGCAGACATAGCTCTCTCCTGTCCTTCAGTGGGACAAGCAGGCCACTAGATAGCAGCCTCTTCTGGCCAAACCAGGGTTTCTGGTGGCCCAAAGGCTCTTTGTTCTTTGCAGCAAAGCACAGGGAGAATCTTGGGGTCGCCGGTCTGACTGCAGGACCTCATCCCTCCACAGGCATTAAATGAAGAACAGGAGCAGAAGGCACCTTTCACACACTCTGAAGACAGACAAGAACTTTCAGAGAGCCATACATGTTTCAGAGGTGCTGCACCAGCCTCTGGAGGTGCTAATTTATCTAAACTGATTACAAAATTACTGTTGGGTTAACTGACTAGTTACTTAGGGGTCTCAGCTATTTGCCTGAAGTTGGGAAGTATAAAATTTCATATATACCTATGAAAAAGACTGGCAACTGCATGCAATTCCACCAAGAGGATGAAAAAACCCCACATTGCACACAGATATTTCAGCTAACACACCAGGGAACCATGAATACCAACTATCCCTAATTTAGAGATGGTGACTCCACAGCACAGGCACAACTAGTAGGGGCATCTCCCGCAGTCCTTGCAATCCACATTATCCCATGTAATACGCGATATAACAAGAAGAAATAGCCTCAGGTTCTTCCAGGGGAGCTTTAGACTGAGTATTAGGAAAAAATCCTTTACTGAAAGGGTTGTCAGGCATTGGAACAAGCTGCCCAGGGCAGTGGTGGAGTCACCATCCCTAGGATCCCTTTCCCATTTAAAAGACTTAGGAATGTGGTTTAGCGGCAGACTTGTCAGTGCTGGGTTAACGGTTGGATTCGATGATCTTAACGGTCTTTTCCAACCAAAATGATTCTATTATTCTATCCAACTATGGGTAACAGCTTCAATGCAGTTTCTGTTGGTTCTATTGTAATGGTTCTAATTAAATGGGAGCCTCAATCAGTTACTTGGTTTTAATTTTATTAAGAAATGCAAGCACAATAAAATTATTGAAGTAGCTAAAATACAACAACAGTATTCCAAATGCCAGTGGTTAGCAGCTGGTACAACTATAAGCAATAACATTTTCCATACCTATTTGCATATCTCAGTGTATTTAGAGTGTTTTCACATGATGCCATCCCCGGAGAAATTGTAGCGATCTGGGAAAAACAAGCCACACCTTAGTAAATAATTTTGTACATTTTAAAGTATAAATTATTTATTTATTTATTTATTTTATTTCTTTCCAGTTTCATTTGAGATCTTCCACAAAAGCTATTTACTAGGCACAGCTGTACATATACAATGACATCCCAAGGAGAGAGATATCAAGTCAAGGCTTTAATTTAATTTTTTTAACCACAAGTGGAATATTAAAAATTAAGAGAAATTTCAGTCAATTTCCCACATCTCACTGTCTTGGTAACATAATGCGTAGGTGCAAAATTCTGAGTTTGCATTTCTGTAAGTAGAAATCTTAAGGATGCCCAAATAAAACAAGTGACATCAGTGCTTGTATCTGTACTTTCCACCATCTGACCGAAGAATTCTATTTTTCAGACTGATGCAAATGCACATGTATACAATGACAGAATCACCAAGGCTGGAAAAGAGCTTTAAGATCACCAAGCCCAGCCTATGACCTAACACCACCACATCAGCTAGACCATGGCACTAAGTGACACATGCAACCTTTCCTTGAACACATCCAGGGATGGTGCCTCCACCACTTCCCTGGGAAGTCCATTCCAATGTCTAATCACCCTCTCCATGAAGAAGTACTTCCTAATATCCAACCAAAGCCTCCCCTGGAGCAGCTTCAGGCCAGGCTCTCTTGTGTGTTTGCTAGTTGCCTGGAAAAAGACCCCAGCCCCCACCTGACTACAGCCTCCCTTCAGGTAGCTGAAGAGAGTGAGAAGGTCCCCCCTAAGTCTCCTCTTCTCCAGACTAAACAATCCCAGCTCCCTCAGTCTATCCCTATAAGACGTTCCCTCTAGCTGGGCAGTCTGTTCCAGTGCTCTGTCACTCTTACAGTAAAAAAATTTTTTCGGATATTCACCTTGAACCTCCTATGCTCCAATTTACACCCATTACCCCTTGTCCTATCACTGGTCATCACTGAGAAAAGCCTAACTCCGTCCCCCTGACACTCACCCCTTACATATTTGTAAACATTGATGAGGTCACCCCTCAGTCTCCTTTTCTCCAAGCTAAAGAGACCCAGCTCCCTCAGCCTTTCCTCATAAGGGAGATGTTCCACTCCCTTCATCATCTTCGTAGCTCTGCGCTGGACTCTTTCGAGCAGTTCCCTGTCCTTTTTGAACTGAGGGGCCCAGAACTGGACACAATACTCCAGATGTGGCCTCACCAATGCAGAATAGAGGGGGAGGAGAACCTCTCTTGACCTACTAACCACACCCTTTCTAATGCACCCCAGGATGCCATTGGCCTTCTTGGCCACAAGGGCACATTGCTGGCTCATGGTCATCCTCCTGTCTACCAGGACCCCCAGGTCTCTTTCACCTACACTACTCTCCAGCAGGTCAGCCCCCATCGTGTACTGGTACATGGGGTTGTTCTTCCCCAGATGCAAAACTCTACACTTGCCCTTGTTGAATTTCATCAGGTTTCTCCCTGCCCAGCTCTCTAGCCTGTCTAGGTCTCGGTGAATGGCAGCACAGCCTTCTGGTGTGTCAGCCACTCCTCCCAGCTTAGTGTCATCAGCAAACTTGCTGAGGGCACACTCTGTTCCTTCGTCCAGGTCGCTGATTAAAATATTTAATAGTACTTGTCCCAGTACCGACCTCTGAGGGACTCCACTAGTCACACACCTCCAACCAGATTCTGCCCCATTGACTACAACTCTCTGACTCCTTCCTTTCAACCAGTTCCTAATCCACCTCACTACCTGATCACCAAACCCACAGTTGATCAACTTATCTACAAAGATGCTGTGGGCGACGGTGTCAAATACTTTACTGAAATTGAGATAAACCACATCTACCACTCTACCATCATCTATCCACCTAGTCATTTTCTCAGCCTTGTTGCTCTCTTCTGGATCTGCTCCAGCACCTCAATACCCTTCTTGAAGTGAAGGGCCCAGAACTGGACACAGGACTCAAGGTGAGGCCTCACCAGTGCTGTGTACAGGGTGAGAATCACATCCCTACTCCTGCTGGCCACACTACTCCTGATTCATGCCAGGATGTCACTGGCCTTCCAGGCCACAATACACAACTATTCATCCCATCTGTCCCAGCTATTTACCCTCATAACTTGTCTAGAGTATGTTCTGATGCCTTTAATGCCAACTTTAAATCTGTCTGTTATTTAAAGGGTGCAGCTCACCACTGAACTTCCAGTCTAGACCACCTCTTCCAAAATTCCGCACCAACAAACAACACTGTCCTACAGTTAAGACATTATTAAAAACTAACAAACAAACAAACTTTTCAAGCCCAGACTGAGGAGCCTAGGTGCCTAGCTAGAAAACGAGAACAAGCAATAAGAATGTCCTCTAAAAAGTCAGAAGGGAGCAAGTTATCTGAAATGTCTCTGCTGAAGTTCACACTCCCCTTACAGTGTCAGCAGACAAACTTATGTCCAACACATTGCCACTGGAAAGACACCAATTTTAAATATAAGAGCCTAAATTCCCAGTGTCTTCTCTGTTTGTAATTGTTAAACAGTTAACCAAACCAACTTACCATACAGGTACGGGAGTTTTCACCAATGAATGAATCTCTTAGCACCTGAGTAAGTTTACTTGCTCTGAAGGGTGTATGAGGTTTATTTCGGCCTAAGGCTCTAATGCACTCCTGGAAAAACAAACAGGTTTATGTATTTTTATAACATGGGATGAAGACATATAATACAAATACAGTTCAAAATCAGAAAACACATGCCCTAGATATGTTGCTGTCCCCTAAAATATTAAAATTTACCACTAAAAACTGGATTCAAGATGTGTTAGGCTTTTACCTCTCATTAAGCTCAGTTGAGAGGTAGGAACTTAAAATGGACTTAGAAACCTAAAAACTTTGTGACTTTCATAGAAAATGCTTACATCTATTGTATCCAACTACAATAGTCAGTGTTGGTGTTAAATGTCTAGGCTAACAATTATTTCTGATTATCAGCTGCAAAAGACTCAATGATCTATAATCTCCACCAACAGAAGCAGCATGAATGTGCTAACTCTATTAATTAAAACCAGTAGTGTTGATTCCTGGCTCTACCCCTGACTTTCTTAACAGCTCAGAAGAAAACAAAATTTCTGAATTCTTCCACAGATCACAAACCTAGTAAGTATGGCTCTCTAATGATGCATTCAGAATTAGAAGATACTTGAAAATACAAGTTCTCTCTCTTTTAAAATATTCTTCATATATAAAAAAAAAGGGATAAGGTCTCCTCTTTCACCCACAAGGGTATGGGGCAAAACTAATATTTGCAGTTGCTTGGAGAGTGAGAAATACTGTATAGATGTAAATATTAAGAAATTACTATAGAAGTTACAGCAGCAACTAAGTAAGTACAACAGTGCAAACCAAGACCACACAAATCTAAATACAACTCCTGCCCACTTAAGAGGTCTGACATCAGCTGATGAATTACTTCTTATGCAAAGAAAGTTTAAATTTAAAATTCTGTGTCGTTGTCATATTTAGATTTTGATCATTTATGCTAGATTCTGCCTTAGCACTGTGTAAACAGACATCAATTCAGATGCACGGCTTCCTTCCCACAATTTTAACATGTCTACACACAACTTCTTGAAACAACCATACTCCAAAAGCTTTTCAAATCAGAGCTTTCCTTTGAAGCAGCATTAACAGAGAGAATGGCTTTTGTGTTACTTGGAAGAGTTGTACAGTAGTTCAGCTAATCCTCCAGATGCAGCCATATCCTTGTGGCCTTTTGAAATTCCCTAGAAATAGCTTCTTTCAAAAGCCAGGCTAGAAATTGTGGGGTGATCACCCAAGAAAGCATTGCAACCATGAACAGCATAAAACAGAACTAAAAATGGGCTCAGAAAAAATCTGCCATGTTACAGAACAGAATAAACACAAGGGCAAGGTGGCTTTAACTAAAGTTAACCAAACAGGTTAAGACTGGACTGATTCACAGGAGTAAATAGCAAATCCTGGATTAGCACCAAAGAGCTCTCCTCAGAACATACCAGTTTAATTTGAACTTGACAATAAAATCAAGAGTCTTGACTACAAATGGAAAAAGTTTGTAGTATTTTTGGGAATAGATGAAAAACAAGTTATTGAGAAACTTTTATCTTCTTTTACAGCTGTTTAGACCTCTGCAAGACCTGCACTTATTTATAATTCCCCTCCCCCATGTAATTTAGTTCACAATCACTAGTAGAGCAGCAACAGAACCTTTCATGATAATTAAAAAGACAAGTTGTGTGAAAACAAATTAAGTATGTTGTATGCATACTGCACTGAAGGCACTAGCCAGTACAAAATCAACAAGTAAACTGAAAACACCAAAACAAAAGCCAACCCAAACCCAAATCAGCTTTATTTGATTACATTTGGAAACCAGTGATAACATCAACACAATGTTGCTTGCATTATTTATTTTGATGATAAATCAAAACCAGCTACAGTTTTGGACCTGATGCTTTCAATTTTTCAACATGCCATAGAACTCTGTGTGCCATGTTACAAATTAGAATTTTGTGGTTTGTTGTGCAATCTGCTTAGAGTCTTCTCCCATCTTATATTGGGGATAAAAAAATAAGCATAGTGATTTTTTGGTTCAGATTCTTTATATAAAGCTACAGTGCCACTGGTGAGAGTAGTAAACCTAAGAAAAACCAACCAACAACAGAGGCAAGTTTTGAGACAATCAAAACTACTGTTACCCCAGATGGGACCAAAGAAATCACTTTCCCTATTTAGACTGAACCTCTTTCAAGTATTATAAAACAAAACAAAAAAAAAGGCATATGACTATTTAAATAATATTGTCCTGGATTAATGTATGAAAATCAGTAAAGTCACTGTATGAGACAATTTGCTACAAAGAACAGCAGTGAAAAATGGATTCAAACTTTCAAGAGCTACTTCAATCATTTGTTAGTTCCTTCTGGATATGTTGCAGCTGTGTGGTTTTAATGAATTAATTAGCAGCAGTAAATAAGTATGTCATAAAGGTTAACTTCATTTTTTATTGAAAAAATAAAAGAAATACTCCTGTCTGTAAGAATATTTCCAGTTAGTATTTCAGACTATGAATAACAAAGCAAGTAATCTGACCTCCCACTTTAGATATGGACCAGAAGTCTTAAAATTCAACCATGGGGATTTTTTGTTGAGGCAGTTTTTGTTGTGCTTTTTTTTCAAAATGACATTCAAGTTGATAGCACAATATGCCTGCAATGTTTCTACTTGGTAATCAGCAAGTGTTCCTTCAGGCATTTAAAAGAAAAAATCAATACTTTATTTTACGTGTCACATCAGAAGACAATGTAGACAAGCAAAGCCTGTGAAAACACTCATTTTAATAGCCATTGCTACTGTATGAAGAAGGCTTCCACCTACTCAAAGGCAATGAAATTGTTAATTTCAGTTACCTTAAGTGCTAAAAGGCTCTTGTTAATTTCCGCACCTTCCAGTCGTGTCTGCCTGTCTGCACTGGACGTATCTGCTCCTCTTTCATTGCCAGCCAAATCAATCAGAGAAAATTTACCGTGCAATTTCCCTTTCCTTCTGAGAATAATCTGAAAGACTGCATGGCTTCGAGATGAGTGTGCATTTGCAGATGTCTGACCAGATGTCCTTAAAGAAAACAGAGGGGAAGGACTTATGAATAGAAGGACCATACATGTTAAACACATGAACCTCAGAGCGTTAGTCTTTTCAGGACAGTGTTCTGTATTTTCTTACATGTGTTGACAGCACGTCTAAAGTTCTTCTGGATGCTAGAGATACAACCCTAATAATTGTATGTACATAGTACAATCATACCTCTTTCTCCATGTCTTCAAACAGAAATGGAAGTAACATTTTATCTCCCTTTTAAAAGCAAGCATAATCAGATCTTCAAAGATTTCAGTATATCGAAGAGCTTACATGTAAAATGCTGATGGTATTTTTATCTGGTCAGGTAACAGACTATCCACAAAGCTAATTTTAAAAAAAGTGATGCTGTATCATAAAAAAAATTCAACGCTTAACCTCTGTCACTACAGATCAAGGCCTTTTAGAGCTGAAGATTCTGGCAGTATTCCAGATTATAAATTATGTGAATTTAAGTCAGTAAGCTGGTTACATAATGCACATAGTTCACATCCTGTAAAAAAAAAAAAAAAAAAAAAAAAAATCGGTTCTCATTTCTCTCTAGGAGACAGAGAAATTCTAAACATCTTTATTCAAAAGGCAGGAAGATTTCTTACTTGCAGCCGACAGCACCAAAAAAAATCCACTGCATATTAAAAAGTCATCATTATGAAGAGACCCCAAAAAAGTCTTGCTCTAGTTCTTTAATATACAATGAAAAAAGGTGGAAGCTATGAGAAATACCTGCAGCTGTTGCCTACTTCAATAAGCTTAAGAACATCTTCAACGCATTTGACCTCCCGTTCCTGTAATCCCACGACCTGGACTTGCTGTTTACCATCTTCTAACACTCTTAATTTTGTCTTCCTGTTCAACAAGTCAAAAACCTTTGGGAGGGGAGGAACACAAAACAGTTAAAGAGAAGTTTTAGAAGACACTTTTGTTTCAAATCCCATCTCAAAGGGTTCCATGAAAAACTAACTGGAAGGGAAGTGTGAAGAATTAATTGAAAAAAAGCTTTTAATACAAAAGGGAAAAAAATATTTTACATGTCAAGTTCAAAATCTCATTTGTGAAATTCCAACCACTTCCTCAGAGAAAGATCAGGTACTTACCTTACCACTGTATATCTCAAAAAATGTTGCATAAACTTGAAGTTCTAACTTCTTATAGTTTGGCTTCTTTAGCATTAAGAAGACATCTCGAGCTGTGAATACATTTCCAGAATAAAAATAAACCTCCTTATTTATTTTCCTTCGGTGAAAACTATAGTCTATTTTACAGCACCTCTTATATTTTGCAAGTATAATACATAGGGCCAGTCAATCAAGTCTAAAACACTGCAGTTTAAACTGGCACATTATATCAGAAGATGCAGAAGACCGCAAAATTACAAATTTAATCAATCATCCATTATATTATTAATTTAGGTAAGTAATCTATATATACATTTACTTTACTTTGTAAAGACTACACATCTAGGAACTACTTTTGATGTTACCAAAGCTCCAACATATGGCAATTTATGTAGATTCTAATGTTGGTATGACAGGGAGTAGAAGAACTCACTGATCTCACCTATTTCCCAAAAAGCCAACAGACCAATAAAGACTCACCTGCAAGTGCATATATCCCCTTAGAACAATCCTGGTTCTTTCCCGAAAAGTCACCTCCCATAGTCTTGATGTAAGAAAAAAAATAAAAAGGAAAAAAAAACAAACTATAAAGATCGCAGAACTCTAACTTATGAATCTGTTACTTACTATAATTTCTCTAAGTGCATAATAACATAAAAAGAAGTGTATTACTGGCATACAGAAAAAATACTTACGTGGGTTTTTCCACTGCCTGTTTGTCCATATGCAAAACAAGTGGCCATTCCTCTCTCAAATATAGTCTCCACTAATGGTCGAGCAGTAAACCTTAAATGCAAAAACCAACAGTACTTGAGAAACTGAGTTACTTAAAGATCCCACTGCTAAATGATGCTATGGCTTTTAAGGCCAGAAGTGAAAAAGCTGGTCCTGTCTTTGAATGTCCAAAGGATATCTCCACATTAATTCCTGAATTAAAGAGACTACCAGCTGTTAAGATATAAAAATATCCTAATAAATGAAATAAAAGCTACAAGGTGTCGCCTATTTCTTTTACAATAGTTTTGCATTTTAAAGTTTAAGAAAAATAATGTCCTTGTTTTAATGGTACAACACAGCACAGCTTACTGCATGGGAGTCTGGAGCTGCCTAAAGAAGACAGCATTAAAAGACATGAAAGTAGGACAGTGGAGCATATAAATACTTAGGTTTTGCCAATACTAAAATTCTACTTTAGTTTAATTTTGGGGGTTTTCTTCTTCCCAAATCAGTATTACTTGATGCATCAAAAATATTATCTCAAACATTATTTTTCTATTTTAGACAATTAATTTTAACTGCAATAAACACAGTTATTGCTCCCACTTCAGCTGCTTATCACCATTCTTTCATGAAAAACTCCAAAAGCAAAATGCAGCCTAATGGAGGGTTACCAATGGAGGTAAGAGTCGTTCTGCAGCAGTCATTCTAAACCTTCTTCCAGGTGTTTATGCATGAAGTACTGTTAAGTGACAGAAAGAGGGACTGTTGTTCACAGACAAGCTGAAGTGTTACAATCTCCATTCATTCCACTTTGGAACAAACACAAGATTGCTTACAAAAATAACCTGGGTAACAGAGAGCAACCAAGGGCTATGCAAAAATCTAAATTTACTGAACCTTGAGTTTTCATTGAAAATATACCATATTATTCATAATCAGTCTTAGTCTTCATTTTTTCCTTCCTCTACACATACACTTCCTTTGTCCTAGAAACAATAATCCCGTATTTTTTTATTTTTTATATATGAAATACAAAATTTCAAGAAGCCTATATCCACCTAAGAAGCACACTCCATTATCTCTGTTGAACCGAGTTTGAAATTCTTTTCTTTGCCAATTTATGAAAAGGTGACTTCATATCTATTTTAAAGTAGGGCGAAAGACAAATGCATCTAGAAGTTTTCATAAAACATTATACAACTCCAAATGGTACAATGCCAAAACAGTCCAACTTTACTTTTACTAGAACCTTTATTTGCAATCTTTATCTTTCAGAAATGAAAATTCTGGTTCTCCTTTAAAATGCAAAAGGCATACCCATTCAAACTAGTGCATGTTTTTAATACTAATAAAAACTCGCAACTCAGTTTTCCAGCTCATGGATTCAGAAATACAGCTTAAGCAAAATAATAATAAATAACAATAATAATAACAACAGCAACAACAATCATGAGTAGCAGTTTTTTTCCTTCAAACTGAAGAACATTTTTCAGTATAGCAATACAGTAATTTTAGCATACTGGAGAAAACTGCAGTAACTTGCCACACATTTTTTTTTTCCCCAGTTGTGACCTAACATTCTAGTGACAGCAGATGAAGATACCTAGATTGCTCTTACTTTTATTATTACAGGAGGCCTTGAAGCAGACTGCCCTTCAAGTAATCATTATTAAGAAAGAAAGGCCTGTGCTGCTACAGAGACTAGAGATTTACTGTTTCAGTATGAATATAAAACCGCCTTTCGGTATCTTCCTGTATTACCATTAATGTGGTAAAAATTGCCCAGAGGAATTAAAAAATGTAACAATATTGTATGCAAAAACCACCCCTCACATTTAAACACTATGCTCACAAAGATGAACAGTAGCAAGGAGAATTTATTTTTAAGTAGATCTATTGCAAGAGGCAAGCATCACCAGCAAGATCAACCTCCTGCAGCTCTTCTGTACTGAGAAAGGAAAGATGCTGCCAATAGACAATGATTAGGGACAGATACCTACAAAGGCACAGGTTTTCTAAGTCTTCTCCTAGCATAAACTAACAGACTATACAGATATTCTTCTGCTCCTAATTATACCAAGCATAAGGAAAAAGGTTTAATTTTTAAGGTCTCATAATAATTATTTTACCATTAATTTTCTGTTACCCACTGACAGGATGTCAGCATCCAGTATCAATCAGGATATGATGCTAATGTTCACTTCCTTGTTGGATCCAAAACAAGAATTAAGATATTCTCTGTCACTATACCTTAAGGTTATGGGAAGCACTTTCCAAGCATAAGGAAAACGATTGTCATTAAATTCCCTTCTAATATAAATATTCTTTGCAAAAAGCTTCATCGGACTTTAGACTGTATATCAAGGTTATGACTTCCCATAGTACCTAACTTTGCCAGCTATTGTATCTACTCCATTCAGTGACTAGTACAAGGTAACCAGCTACTTCTAAACATGTTTTTAAAAGCAGTGTGTGCATTATTCTGTGCCAGTTGTGGAACAGAAGAATAAAGGAGAAAATGGAGATCCAATATCTTGGGGCTGAAAGTAGATGCGTGTTTGTTGCTGTTGTTTTCCAAATTGGAAATATTCAGCATTTTGAGCAAGACAAGTTAGCTCCATGCACCCCTGTGTCACATCAGTCAGATTGCTTCCAGCAGCCAAGCTAGCTCGGGTATCTCAGCAATACAGCAGTATAACCTCTCTCGCTTTCTTTGTACTCTTTCTCCACTCTCTCCTGATTTGTTTCCATCTGCTAAATATCTTATATTCAAACTGAAAACTCTCTGGGGCCAGGGATGGGCCTGTCCTTTTCTTCTAACTTCCCTGAAGACCAAAAGGCATGACTCAGGTTCCTCAGGTGCTGCACACACACTCATTAACAAAAAAACAAAACCCTTAGGCAAATGGAGAGTTAATGAAGTTGTTCAGATACTCAGCAGCAGAGCAGGCAGGAAATACATGCTAGTGCCTGGAAAACAGCAGGGCTTGGAGGAAGACAGAGCAGGACTGAATTCAGCAGAGGTGGAGATAATATTGCAGGTGAAAAATTCAGGACAAATAGTTAAAAAAAAGTAAACAGGCAAAAGAATGGAGGCAGAAATATACAATCCAGTAACACAGAGAACAGAAGTCCATGGCCAAGGTAAAACCACAGTTATTGACACTGGAGATAACTGAGAAAAAAGATTAACAAATAAAGCATATACACATACCTGTAAACCATTTCATTGGGAGCCGTGTCATCAAAGGCATAATCAAAACGAAAAGTTTGGTTTTCTAGGTACCTCGTTAAGTCCACCTTTTGTTTTGGTTCATGTACCATCACAACATCTTTACTAGGAATTGTTATTACATCAAGGTCTTTCATTACATTTTCTATAAAGTAAGTGAAATATATATATGTTTAAATAGCAACACATCATTATTTTTTACATTTTTTAATAGTTTACACTCAAAACATCTCAGATAACACAGCTCCTCAAAGTAACAACACTGAAATGGATCTGGACTTCTGATACTGAGATAGTAATCCATGACATAAGAGATTTCATTTTGGAAGTCTGTCATGCTATCCTACCAATCACTAGACATATTTAAAAAAAAAAAAAAAGAGGTGGTACAAAGCTGTTAAGAAACAGTAAGGTCAGTAATTACAACACTATCACTGTAGCTTGTCTTGCATTCTGTAAGAACATCGATGGAGTTGGCTTCTATTTCCTCAGGGCTTCTATAGTGTTTTACAGATTACTGCTGTACCCAGTGAGTTTTTATAAGTAACTTCTCTACTGGAGAAACTGGACACTGAAGTCCTATAATGCTTGTACTGTACAACTTAAAACCACAAATAAATTAATGTCCTTACGATAATCTGCTTTATTTTAAAATTTTGTCTTTTTATTTTCTCTAAATCCTTAACATTAGTCACTTGTTCACAGCTTTCAAACAGAAAAAAAATATTATTTAATTCTACTAATACATTTTTATTTGAGTATTGCCCCTGCAACCTAAAGCATAAATCTTTAACATAGAATTTTAAAAGAAAAATCCTTTCTAAAAATTACCTTGTACACTGAAAATGCTAACAATCCTTCCTATCACTGGGAATGAACAAAAGCCATCTAGATGCAACTTCAGTACTGTGTTCCTAGGTTACCATTACTAAACAGCACTACAGTTTATTGCTAATTGATGTATGGTATATGAGTCAGCAAAACAGAAGGCGCAGTGTTGCATGATATGCACAAAAATAAAGATCCTTTGTGTGTAGTCAGGATCCTAATGTGTCCTACTTGCACTTCCATGTAAAATTTCTTCTTGCATGGAGTTCAAGAATTTGATGTGGCTCTATACAGTCAGATAGAAATCTTTTCATCAGTTAACATGTTAATCAAGCAGTACAATAGTTACCATTGCATGACATTATATACTACAGAAATATGCATTCAAGTCAATATATAACACATTTTTCAACTGCACTGCATTAAAATAAAAAGCAGTTATACTGCAGTAATCATAGAGATGAAAGAATGAACAGTATTGAAAAGAGATATACAAAGGTCATCTTACTGTAGTAAAAGCTCTTTAGTTTAAGTAGTCAAAGCTGATTTTTCTTAAGTGATTGTTTGGAATACGACACTTACCTGCTCTCAGCTATTTGTTATGACGACCTCTATTCCTTACTGAATAAATTTTGGTATAGTGTCTCTGAAACCCACCATTTCTCAATTATAAATACATGTGACTGAAAGAAAATCTGAAAATCTTGATCTGAACACCTACTTCCTGCAAAGTCAATCCACAGAAAGATTGATGCTGAGAACACCTAAAGGTTTTGGTGATTGTGTTTGTAAGACTGAGAAACTATTTTCATTTTTTGTTTTCAGGGGATTACACACTAGTATCTTTCATTCTTTTATATTCTTCAATTTTCAACTGTGGCTTGAGAAATACTGTATCTTGTGAAGTGTGTGTTTTTAGAAGATTGTATCATCCAGGTACTAGATTATCTGTGGTTCATGCCCTGCATAGACTACTTCATTAATAACTTTTTACTATAGCTTATTCTAAAAAATGCAAAATAACTTTAGTGACAACCTCATTTTTATATCAGACACCCACATTCTTACAAAAATACCTCAGAACTATTTTTTAATAGCTCCAAACCATGAACACTTAAGATAACAAACTTCCACAAAATCAAATCCTAATTCTGAATCCCAGCTCATGCCCCATGCCAGCTTGCTCTCATTTACTATTATTTGAATTTGTCTACCTTCAGTACAGATAGAAGGTGATGTTTCATCTAAATGTTTCAGATTTTCAAGTCATATTTTATTAAAGATAATCACCAACTGTGAAAAAGACATTCAACTGCTACCAGACTTGTATGCTGAATGCCCTTATTAAATATAAATGTGCAAAATAGTTTCAATCAACCAATTTTTTGAGATTATGCATTATTTTCAGTTCAACAAAAGAAAATAATGGAGGTAAAAATGAAGGGAAAAAAAAGTTGTGGAAGTAGCAACATGGAGGGGGGAAAAAAAAAAAAAGAAAAAAACTAAGTATATACTGGTATCAACATATGTTTTCCCTTTCCCATACAGTTCTCCTGCTTTTCTCTGGAGATGCTCCACAGAATTCTCAGTGTGTAGTTCTTACAGTACAAAAATAATAAATTCATCCTGTGTTGTTCCATGTCAGAACTATGTTCTGTGAGTCCTTTAGCTAAACAAAATGTAGCAGAAAGAGAAAAAAAGAAGCACCTTACAAAACAGAAGTCAGCTTACTTAAATATTGGATTCAGACTGGCTGCAATCCAGAATTTGTGTTCTTAATTGGAAGAACTTAATTGGAAGGTTGGTATTTAACTGGAGCTGAAAATATAAACTTTTTTTTTTTTTTTCTGAGAATACAGACTTCAGTCTGATGAGCAGGCAGTAAGAAAAAAAGTTGTTATACTAATAATACATAGGAAGAAGTCACTAGGGAGTCATTCCAGAATCTAGTAGTTTTTCAGTGGCATTTCACATGCCTTAGGGTATCTTGACCAGTCCTAGGCAGGAACTCTAGGGTACACAAGTCTCCAGTTTCTCTGTAATCCATTAGCCTTGCAAGGATGTCTACAACATGATTGGTAATCTAACATGTCATAAGATACCAGCATTTTAGCAGCTGAATTGCTCCTCTGACATCTGGTTCAAGACCCCTTGAAAGTAAGAAAATGTACAAATAAATGTAACAAAAGGTGTAGGAAAGTTTTTATTGGGTAGGTCTCTGCTCAGGACATGATGTAAATGGTAGTTTAAAAGAATGGTGATCCTAACACAATGTAAGAATATTGAAGAAAGGACAGTAAAATTAATTCCCTGATCAACTAACTACATCCTGCATGACCTTGGAAAAAAAAAGCAGTCTCTCTGCCCCTCAGCTCCTATTCCATGAAATGGTAACAGTTAAACTGCTTTTCTCTCCATCTTTATCCAGGGTACGTTGAGTCTTTGAAATTATCTGGGTACATCACACATATTGTGTCATACAATGTTTCACCTTTCATCAGTACTTCTAGATCTTTTTAAATACAAATAATACTACTAACAGAAACAGCTTTTCAGAGAAATCTTTACCAAAGTCGTAAGTGGTCATACCTTTTTTATTGAGTGGTCGTTTTCGTACACAAACACATATTCTGTGCTCATCAATCTGCAAAAGAAACAGTCTTTCAGTGAACTATACCCCAATTTCAGTTATACTGTATTTTACTTCCATTCTTGACTCACTTAGTGAATCACTTAAGCAAAGAGAAATTTCCGAGACAGTCATCTGAACACGTGAAAGCCCCTTGTGTGTGCACAACAGCCAAGAACCCAAAAGGAAGAACCACACATTATTTGGTGGCCTTCTACAATAGAGCTACAGAGTTGATGGATAAGGGAAGAACAACTGACATGATCTACCTGGACTTGTGCTAAATATTTGACACTGTCCCATACAACATGGCTGTCTCTAAATTGGATAACCATGGACGTGACAGGTGGACCACCTGGTAGATAAGGAATTTGCTGACTGGTTGCACTCAAGGAGTTGTGGCAAACGGCTCAAGGTCCAAGTGAAGACCACTGGCGAGTGGCCTTCCCTGGGGTTCAGTACTGGGACAGGTGCTGTTTAACATCTTTGTCAGAGAGTGGGATCAAGTTCATGAAGTTCAAGACCAAATGCAAGGTCCTGCACCTGAGTCAGGGCAATCCCAAGCACAAATATGGGCTGGGTGGAGAATGGATTACAGCAGCCCTGAGGAGAAGGATTTCGGGGTGTTGGTGGATGAAAAGCTGGACATGAGCAAGCAACGTGCGCTTGCAGCACAGAAAGCCAATTGTATCCTGGGCTGCATCAAAATAAGTATGGTCAGCAGACCAAAGGAAGTGATTCTGCTCCTCTAACCCACTCTTATGATACCCCACCTGGAGTACTGTGTTCAGGTCTGGCACCCCCAACAGAAAAAGGACATAAACCTGTTGGAGACAGGCCATAGGAAGGCAACAAAGATGATCAGAGGGCTGAAGCACCTCTTCTGTGAAGATGGGATGGGAGAGTTGGGGTTGTTCAACCTGGAGAAGGTTCCAGGGACATCTTACAGCAGCCTTCTAGCACCTGCAGAGGACCTACAGGAAAGCTGAGGAGGGACTTCTTACAAGGGCAGCTAGCGATAAGACAAGGGTTAGCAGTTTCAAACTGAAAGGGGAGATTTAGTTTAGACATTAGCAAGAAAATCTTCATTTTGAGGATGGTAAGACACAGGAACAGGTTGCCTGGAGAAGTTGTGGATTCCCTATCCCTGGAAGTGTTCAAAGCCAGGCTGAGTGGGGCTTAGAGCAATTGTGGTCTAGTGGAAGGTATCTCTGGCCCATGCAGAGGGGTTGAAACTAGATCATCTTAAAGGTACCTTCCAACTCGACCATTCTGTGATTCTACCATTAACAAAATTCCCTGCAGACAGTGATCTAATCCTGTATAGTACCAGGTACACCTTGGAACACTGCAAGCAAATCCAGCTCCAACAGGGGAGATAAATTGTTGACAGAAATTATCACAATATCTGATTTCCACAGGGATCTGATAATCTCCATCATTTAAGGGAGTTCATCTGACTTCTCTACAAATCAAAGGCCCACATCACCTTCAGAGATCAAATATTAATCTTTATATTCGGTAACATTTTTCTGAGAAGCTTAATGGCTTTGTGTGCACATCCCCTAGCATCCCAGGAAAACAAAAATACAGAGGCTAAGTGACTACCTACTACATATTTGTATTATTTTGTAGTCGAAAGATACTTAAATAATGTAACAACTAAAAATAATTTAGTCATCTGGGATTTTCAATAACTACTAATTTCAGTATCATCATCTCAGATTACTAAGACAAAAAAGAGTACTAACACATGTTAAACTACTTATTTTTCCTGTTTACAGACAAAAGTATACATTGAAAAAAAAATTGAAACACAGGAAAAATACAGAAGGATAAAAAAATTCCATGTTCCTTCAGTACTTACAGGATCTGCAGTTGTCAGTGGTCTATAATCCAAACTTGCCCTGAAATCTCTTATCATACACATAATCTCATAATTGGGATTTGTAGCATCAACATCCTAAGGAAGTAAGCAACAACATTTTATATATAATTTTCTTCCTGAAACAGACTAATTTTAGTAACTTCTGTCATTTTTATAGGAAAATATACATTAAATGAATTTTTTTTCTTCAAATCAACAGAAATGTCTCAAATGAAAGTTTAATGCACTTTTCCATTTGGATGTCATTAACATGCTGATCATAAAGCAAAATAATTATATGCCTTCTATTTCATGTCTTTAGTCAGCAAGTAATATAAAATACTTTTTAACTGAAGAATCACTAACAGCCTACTTAAGAAAGAGAAATTACTCCCACCTTTCACAATCATAAATGCCCCCAAAGCCAGAACATAAGGCATATCCAGTCAACACTTCTTGATCTGAGGCAAGGTGGTCCAAGGGATGAATGGATACACAAAACACTCTGGAGAGGATAGTGCAGGCTCCCCAGCTATTCTAAACAAACCCTGATGCATCCCAGTTGGTTAAAGGAGGATCATCTTACCACTGGCCCTGAGTTAACTCCTACAGTTACCTGGGTTGCATAAGAGGCCATCCAGGGAGCTCCTGAGTCTGAGTCTACTGTGAGATCAGCTGGTTCTCTGATAAATGGCTGAAATGTCTTTCCCATCACTTCTCCCCACAACTGTCATTTTTCATACTATTTCAGGATGCACTGCTGACACATGGTATAGCCAGCTCTGCTGCTCAGACCTTACTATGCTTTGCATGGATCCCCACAAATTATATAAAACTCCCTTAGGATCACAGCTGACAGTGGAAACAGAATAGGCACTCTTAGGAAGCACTGCACGGAGGTTAATGAGGTGAAGTGGAGCATGTGCACCTGTGGCACAGCTGGTCCTCACCTTACATAAAACCACCCTGGTAATCAGAAGCTGACCACACCTTGACGACGTTCACCCTGCCTACAGTGAACCAAAACTGTAAGTCCATAA